ACAATGAAATGCCTTCCTTGCCAAGGGAATTGGATCTCATCTGTGCCCAGGCTGTGCCCTGGAGTTCTAATGGGCAAGAGAGGAGGCCTGGGGTGGATAAAACTTTAGTCCCTGTTCCCCAGCCCTGCAGTCTCTTCTTCTGCACTTGCTGTCTGTGTGTGGGGTTTATTCCAGGAGATGTGTCTGTCTGGGAGGTCAGGGCTTGGAGTTCCTTCCTCCCGCAGCGCTGGGTCTGCAAACCCAGAGAGTGCCCCTGGAAGAGGGGCTCAGGGACACTTGATTTCCTGTCACTGCTGCATCCCTTGGGTGCATTTGTGCTGGCTTTCCTTTCTCTGCCCTCCCTCCTGAACAAAAAAGCTTTCCAAGGGCTTGTGTCAATGGTGTTGTTTTAAGCAGTTTTAAGCAAGACTTACTGGCTGGCTGGAGAAGTGAAAACAAAGCTCTCAGTACAGAAGTGGTTTGTGATAAAACCTCCTTAAGTGACAAGTGGGAAAAGGCTTATGGGTCCCTTCTCTGCTGTGTGCTCCCTCCCAGACGAGGCTGTGGTGTTAAGTAATGCTCCTGCTCTGACCAGCTGTTACCATGGCAAACAGCCACTCAGATACCACGGGAAGGGTTTTTGGTCTGCAGTGGCAGTGGCTGGTAACTCCTTGCTGCTGCCTCCTCTGGTGTGCTCCAGACCCTGGGATGGGATGGGCTGGGCTGGGATGGGCTGGCTCTGGCATCAAAGCCCTTGTGCTGCAATCCTTGTAGACCCAGTGAAGCACTGCAGTAAAGGGGCACTGCAGTTTAAGGTCATAATTTTAGTTTATACCAAACCAGGTGAAAAGTACAGCTCATTCCTTTCCCTCATGGAGCTAATGATTAACGTATCAATTAGGCATGAGAAGAAACAAAATGTGTATGCTTAAGATAAAGCAGACTGTACATGAAATGAGAATGTATTGTAGTATTTGTTTTAAAAACAAAGTGGGAGTTATTTGCACTGGATTGTGCAGGCCAGTGCTGTGTGATTACAGGGAGTGCTACCATTTCGGGGTGATTCATTGTGGTCTAGGCTCTTTAAGGCTGATTAGAAGGTGGGAGGGTGTTCTCAGCTTATACCCTCTCCCATCCTGTTTTAGAAAAAGCAATGGAAGCATCAAAACTTGAGGCTAGAACTGAGTGCTGTCTAGTGCCTCTGAGAGAAATCACCCTCATTTTGCATCTTTGGGACCACCAGGTCCAAAGGGTTGATGGGATTCTGCTCATAGTGGTGAGGACCCTGTGTGCCTGGAGATGGTTGGAGTGCCTGGCTTTGGGCAAAAGGGAGGTTCAGAGCAGCTGATGGAGTCCCCAGTACAGCTCCCCACAGCAAACTGGGTGGCTTTAGCTTGCAGGCACTTGGGCTTCTGACAGGAATCACACAAAACCTGCAGTTCCCTTTGCTGGCAGATTTTGGATGGGGTTTTGTTGGCAAAGCTATTCCAGTAGGAAACCTGATCTCTGTCAGTGGAATCCTGCTGGTTACAGCGAGTTGGGAAGCCATGGGGTGACTTGCATCAGTAACATGTAGTGCAAGACTTCCCAACAAAATGATTTTGGGAGGTTTGGGGTGCTGCTACGCTGTCCCTTCTTGTGCTGTTGACAGGGGATCCTCTGTGTTTATAGGGCACTCCTGCATGGGCTGAGGGAGGGTGTGAAGGTGCTGCCACATGCTTTTGATATCCTTGGGTACTTGTGTCACTGTGTTGGTGCTCTGAAGCCAACATTCAGGTGCAGTGTCCAAAATGAGCAGGTTGGTGTAGGATGTCTCCAGCCGAGTGAGAGGCTGGGCTGGGAGCAGTTCATCCAGCCTGCCTTGGAGCTGGTTTTTACCCTGTGCACTCTGGTAGCTGTAGGTGAACAGTGGACCACCCTTCACCCGCTCTGCTCCTCTCCTGTCCTGTCTTCTGCAAGCCCCACACCCAAGGGGTTGAAGAGAAAAGCTCTTTAGTATTAATTCTCTATAACTGTGGTTAAAGTCTCTCTGGCAATTGGTGTGGGACATGCAGCTCCTGAAGCATTGATGAGGCTTCGGAGAAAGCTTTATTAAACACAAATTGAGAGGGATGTGTGGTTGTTTCTATTCAGAGTCTTGCCCAGATGCTCTCCAAGTCTGAAAGCTTCCAGTGTTGATGGTGTGTGCTCTCAGAGCACAGCAGTGGTTGCACCAGCTCCCCCTCGAGACTTGCTCTCTCTGGAGAGGAGCTCTGCACTGGAAGGCAGAGACTTGTATTTCAGGTGTTGTCTTTGAGGCATTCCTTGAACTTGAGAGGTGAGTGGGTTGGGTAAAGTACCACAGCCCCCCTCCATGGAGAAAAACACAGCTTTTTTGCAGATGCTTATGCCACAACGTGCTGCTGGTTTAAATGACTTCCAGCTTTTAGCAGAAGAGAGGGAATGAACACGGTCTCTTTTCAGTGCTGTTCCACTGTTTCTGACAGAAAGGCACAACCCAAACTTACCGTGAGTCCTGGGAAGGTGCTGACACGGCTGCTGTCCCCTGCCCTGTCCCAGTCCTGCCCCCAGCTGTGCCTGTGCCTTGGCCAGCTCAGGGCAGCCCTTTCCAGCACAAGCCACAGCAGAGGTGCTGGAGGGCTGGCAGGGCAGGGGAGTGATGCCCATGGATGCTGTGACCCACTTGTGCAGAGAGGCAGCGTCCAACACGAGTCAGCTGAGCCGCCGTGGTGAGAGCACCCGGCTCCCACTGCACAGCCCTGAGCCTGGAAAAGCCATTTCCTTTAATATTTCAGCAGGTGTTTCATAACAGCACTTTGTACACGCCTTGGACATGCTTTGTCGGCATGTCCCTGACACTTGGCTGTAGCTTAAAACTTCTAATGGATTAATCATAAATACTTCAGGCCAATGCTCTGGTGTGCCTGCAGTCCTGGACAGCTGATGGTAACTGGCACAGGGCAGCCTCCTTCTGCTGTGTGGGTCTGGATGTCTCTGGACACTGGGACCCTCGGTTTTGGGTATGGCTGTGTGGGTCTGGATGTCTCTGGGCAGTGAGACCCTCAGTTTTGGACATGGCAGTGCTCTGGCAGCAACAATCCAGCTCCCCATGGCTCGGAGGTGGGACAGCTTGAACAGCAGCTGGCAGCCAGCTGGAAGCCAGGGCTGCCTCAGGGCTCCAGCACAGGGATGTCACCATCTTGCACAGGGCTCTCGGAGCATTTGGGGTGTGTTTTCCCTCCACTCTTTGTAACAGGACCTTCTCAGAGCAAACAAAGGCACCAAAGAGCTGCTTGTTCAGAGCTCCTGGATCCACCAGGGAAAAAAAAAAGCCCGGGCTGAGCCCCTGGGTCACCTCCCCAAGGAGAACAGGCAGTGGGCTGTGCCTGCACAGCAGATGCCCCCTCTGTTATTCCCGTTGATGAGAGGGAGACTGCCTGGGGCTGGGGCACAGGCTGGACCCGAGGGCAGACATTTGGGGGTGCTGGGCTGTCCCTCTCTCTTCCCCACCTGGTGCTGTCAGGGTCATTGTCCCCATGGCTCTGCAGAGCTGGAGCAGTGACAGGGGAATGCTTTCCTGAGCACAAAGCAGGCCCATGGGAGGGCCAGGCTCGTGCCACGAGCTGTCTCCTGCCACCACCGTGTGTGCAGGCTGGACTCCTGCGTGGGGGCACGTTTTCTGTGCAGACCACAACAAACAGACCCGAGGAAGTTGTCAGGAAGGCGAATCACCTGCCTGCCCTCAGACTGCCAAAGCTCTGGGTGTGAAAGCCCAGGCTCAGTGAGGAGGAACCAAAGGTGAACTGCTCCTCTGTCCGGAATGGGCCTCAGGGCCTGGCACAAAGAGCAGGCAGCACGCTGGCCTCGGGTAGGAGACCCCTCCATCCAAACCTGAGGCTCCCTCCTGTGTGCTCAGGCAGCTGGCAGAGTGTAGGAAATCCCAGTGGACTGCTGGGAGCCTCCAGGGAGCCCTGGGGGGGGGGGGGGGGAGGCCGGGGGCGCGGGCTGCCCCGGCGGGGACACCCAGGGGGGTTGGGCACTCGCCCCTTGGCCAGCGGGGTGTCCCAGCACTGCCACCTCCTGAGCTGTGCCTCGGGTGCAGGAAGGACAGAGCTGGAGCAAGGGCTGCTCATCCAGGGGGAGGAGGCAGCTCTGTGTGTGTGGCGGGGCTGGAGCAGAGTCAGGCAGCAGCTCCTCGCTCCAGTCCGGAGGCGCTCGCAGCTGGGGAGGGTGGCACCTCCTGGGAAAACTCTGCCTGGCCCTTGTTCCTCTCGGTGGTTGCCTTAACCACAAAATCTGAACTTCCAAAGGCACCGTGCAAACGATGCAGCAAAGGCAGACACTGGACTAAAGATTGCAGGGCTCTTACTAACATCTATGGAGAACTGCTGCCCCCCAAAAAATCACCCGACTTAAGGAGAAAAGTGACTTTTAATTCAATGCCAGATCTTAAACAGTGCACCTGTGAACTGTCAGGAAACAAGGCAGCAAGCTCCAGGGGTGCTGTGTTAACACAAACACCCCCTCAACTGCATTCCATCCTGCATAACCCATCCCTTCTGCAGGATCTCGTAGTCCACAAAAGACCACTATCACCAAGCTTTTAGACACCATGGAGCAGTGGCATCTCAGGCCGGAAACAATTTTTAAGGGGGGAGTCACTCAGCAGATGCAGCTGTCCAAACTGATTTGGAAGATGCAGATCTGTCCTCCCCCAAGTCCATTTAAACAAACCCTTTTTTAACTTTCTTTGAAAATGTCTGTTGTGATAGTCCTTCTTGCAGCATGCTGTGACACAAGAAATAGTTAATAACAATACAAACAGAGAAAGCAAAATTTCAAACTAATAAAAAAAAATGAGATGTGAAGGAGCAAGATTCAGGATGGGAACAGTTCCAGGCGTGGAGAAAAGCATACGGCAATTGGCAGGACTTTATTATATGGACCTTACAGTTATCATATGGACTTTACTGTTATTAGTGTGACTGACCCGGCCCCTCTGTGCCCCTCTGTGCCCGCAGTGTACGTCGTGGAGGAGCGGCAGAGGGACGACACGGGCGAGAGCGCCTGCCTGACAGCCTGCTGGACCGCGCTGTGCTGCTGCTGCCTCTGGGACATGCTGACCTGAGCCCCCGCCGCCCGCAGAGCGCTATGCAGCCTCCCCACTCCTGCCCCCCGACTTCTCTTTCTGTTACTGTAATCAACTGCTCTGCTTTGCACAGCCAAGAGGTTCCCGTCTGTCCGTCCTAGCGCCTTGTCGGGGGTGGGGGGGGGTGCGACTCCTTTATTTTAGTAAAGGAAAAGGAGAAAAAAAAAAAGATCCCTTTTTAACATTTCTAAGACTTTTGTTGTAACTTTGAAGAATGTGCTGATGGTGTATTTCAGCCAAAGGCATTCTGATGAAATGTATATTTACCAGTTGAGATTTTCCTAGCCCTAGAGACGAAGACGTACGCAATAATTAAAGCCAACAGTTGATTTTCTTCGCTAGGTCCCGGCTGTTTCAGTCAATCTGTCTGTGCGGGGTCAGTGTCCCCTGGTGCTGTGTGTCCTCAGCCCCCCACGGGCACTGGCTCTGCAGGTGGGAGTCCTGGGTCTGGCACCTCCAACCCCCTCATCCCACACTTGGGTTTTCATCCCTCGGGGCTGGGCGGGCACGTCCCCTTCTGGGACCAGCGCCCTCTCCAGCAGCTCCTGGAGAAGTACAGGCTGAGCTGCTGCAGCTCTTGGGGAAGGACTGATCCCAGGCTGTGATCCATCATCCCCTGCTGCAGAGCAGAGGCTTGCAGGGGGTAAATTAATGGGTAAGAAGATACAAGGCCATGGATTAATTTAGTGCAGAAGATTTAGAGCTGAAGCTGTTCCATGGCACGCCTGGCCAGAAGAGGGATAAAAAGCTTTTGTCTGCAGAAAAGTGGGAAAACCTGCTGCTGGTCCCAGGGAGTTGCATCCCACTGCACCCCCAGCCTTGGGACCAAACCTGATGCACACACCAGCTTTGCTTTGCGCTGCCCGGAGATCACCCAGGGATCTTGGATCTGTTTGCAAAGGGCACTGCCCTCGCTGTCCCTCGGATGGCCCTGGTGCTCTGTGCACCTCGACTCAGAGCTCAACAGTGCAAGCTTGGGGCTCTGGTCTGGGGTTTGGGCTTGATGAGAGCCCCTGGCAGCTGCCTGTCCCCAGGAGCCTTAGTGCCCCTTGCCTGCCCCCCTGCAACCCTAAGCTCAGCTCTGGCTGGGTTCCCAGAGCTCCCAGGAATGGGTGCTGTCACCTTCCCTGTCACTGTCACCTCCCTGGCAGCTTGGCAGCTGTGGGGGCACAGGAGGGGAGTCTCTGGCTCACCCTTCTCTGTGGGTGGGAGGGAAGTGGAGTGTTGGGCTGCCCTGTGCCCATGGCCCTCCATGCCCCCTCCAGTCCCTTGCTCCCCTGCCAGCCTGGCCTTGGCTCTTCCCAGCCCAGGGAATGGCTCTGTCCCTGCCAGGCCCGAGGGAGCCCCAGCCCTGCACACTCCCCTCAGCTCCTCACCCTGTCTCGGGTGCAGCAGTAGCTGCTCCCAGCAGGGGAGGGGGTGAGGACTCAGTTTTCCTGCTCTGGCACCTGTCCCAGACACCAACCAAGTGGCTGCAGCAGCACTCTGGGTGCCACAGTGCCCGTCCTTGGGGACAGGCAGGGCACATCACATCTCCCACGCTCCAGCAGCAAGGGCCACCCCAGGTCCCAGCACACCAGCTGCCTGGGCTGGGGGAGAACTCAGGCTCTGCCAGTCCCCAGTGGGCCTGGGCACCCCTTCCCCATCCCAGTGCCAGGGCAGGGCAGCGGGTGAAGCTCTGGCAGCCTCTGCAGCAGGGAGTCTCTGGTCACTGCACCAGAAGGGGGCTGACCCTCCTGGCCAGGCCTATGCCCTGCAACCCAAATGGGGACAACCTGGCCCAGGGCCCACCTGTTTGCCCACCCCAGCACCTGGAAGAGACACCAGGACACATGGAAGCCGAGGTTGGGAAGCGGCGGATGTGGCTGCTCGCAGTGGGTGATGGGATGAAGCAGGTCTGCACACACACAGGAGCTCAGAGTCCCCACGGGAAGGGACCCCACCCATGGCCTGGCCAGAGGTCTCCCAGCCCCACCAGCCCTGGCAGAGCCCATGGGCACAGTGCAGGCAGGAACCCAACAAGGATGCCTTGTCCAGGGCCTTTCCCAGGGCTGCCCCACAGAGCTGCAGCCCCGTCTCCAGCCTACAACCCATCCCAGGGCAGCCCCCAGATCACCTTTGAGGTTACAGGGCTGATACCTGGGAGCGGGACACTTACTTGGATCCAAACTGTTTGGGATTGCACAGGACTTGTTATAGGATGTTTCAGGGAGGCCCCCAAGGTGCAGGTGATTTTTAGGAAGAAGTGTGGGAAAGCAGCGAGGTGTGGGGCCCAGCAGGGTGTTGGTGACCCCCTGGTCATTGCTCTTGTCCAGCACCTGATGCCCCCGGTCTGTCTGAGCTTATCAAATTCCTCCTAAACGCTCTCCCAGGCGGGGATCCCTCCCTGCCCGTGTGTGTGCAGGGTGTGAGAGCACTGGGGGGGAGCGGCCCCGTGTCCGTGGGGCAGCCGTGGGATCACCGGCAGAGGTGACACGGGACCCGCTGGTGACACAGGTGGTGGCTTGGGAACCCGGAGGCAGCGAAAGGCCGTCCCAGAGTGTGGCAGCACCCGTGTGCCCGTGGGATGAGAGCACGGGGGTCGGCACGGGACCGGGAAACTCCCGCCCGGCTCCAATATCCCGGGAGGAGCGGGCGGGGGCCGGGCCGGTGCAGTTCCCGCACGGGCCACACGGTGGCAATGTCCCGTCGCGCCGGGGCGTGCGGAGAGACCGGGAGAGAGGGAATGGACTCGGACACTGGGAATGACACGGGAGAGAGGGAATGGCCTCGGACACGGAATGACACGGGAGAGAGGGAATGACACGGGACAGTGGGAATGGCCTGGGACACTGGGAATGACACGGGACAGCAGGAATGGCATGGGACAGCGGGAATGACCTGGGAGAGAGGGAAAGGCATGGGAGAGCAGGAATGACATGGGAGAGTGGGAATGGCCCGGGAGAGCAGGAATGACCCAGGAGAGAAGGAATGGCCCGGGACAGCGGGAATGGCCTGGGACAGCAGGAATGACTGGGACAGCTGGAACGGCCCAAGAGAATGGGAACGGCCTAGGATAGTGGGAACAGCCCAGGACAGCAGAAATGGCCTGGGAAAGTGGGAATGGCCAGGGACAGTGGGAATGACCACCGAGCACGGGCTGGCTGGGCCCATGCCCATGTCCGTGTTCCATGCCCATGTCCGCGTTCCATGCCCATGTCTGTGTTCCATGCCCATGTCTGTGCCCATGCCCACGCCCACGTCCATACCCATGTCTGTGTCTGTGCCCTCCCAGCCTCCCTCTTTCCCCCCACCACTGCCCTCCAGCAGGGCCCCTCCACCAGCCTCCCCCGGTGCCCACTCTGGGCAGCACTCAGGGGGTGTCTGCAGGACAAGGGCACAGCTGCTCCAGGGCAGCAGGATTCCCTGCAGGCCCCTCACCCCAAATCCCACCACACCCCCCGGGAGAGCAGCCAGAGAGACACGAGTTTTATTGAGGTGGGGAAGGAGGGGGCAGGCTGTGGGGATCAGCCCAGGGCACCCAGGGGTGCCACTACTGTGCCCTGCGGGCCATCAGCATCTCCCGGATATTGTCTTCTGCTTCCTTCACACTCCGCTCCAGATACGACTTCTTCTGCTGCAAGGCAGAAAGCAGAGGAGAGTCAGGGTCCCCAGCACACACCAGGGCCCAGGGCCACCCAGGCAGAGCTGTCCCAGCCACCCCCCACCCTGCCAGTGTCCCCACGTGGGGACAGTGGTTACACGTTCCCAGAGGCACAGGGGCAGTGGTAATGTTTTACACAGACTTTGAATTTTGTTCCCACTGAAACCTCCTCTGTGAAAAAGTGGGAGACATGAACCACAGCAAGGAAGGAAATCAAATCAGATCCTGTAACTCCTGGAGCCCAGACTGACATGCTGAGGCCTCCTTATGGAGACACAGCAAAACTCCCTCCTTGGGCACAAAAGGCTCTTTTTCCCAGCTGGGCCATTTTCTAACCCCAGACCCTCCTTTCTATCAGAAATTCCCTGGCATAGTCACCAAATACGTGTGTTTCCTTAATCATCTGTAATTAGGCTGGGCTTGGCAGGGAAGCAGCCCCAAGCCGTGCATCCCAAGATAGGAATTCAGCATGCAGCGTTTTTTCCTGCTAGTCTGGGTGCTCCTCTGTGACTGGAAAAATCAGCACTTGGCTCTCCTGACTATTTTCTCTGGGTTTCCAAACAACAGACACAACAGTCTCCTCCAGCAGCGTTGCTGTGAGCAGGGGTGGGCCCACTCCATGACCGGATGGGGGGGCCTTGGGAATGTCCCCAGAGCTGGGATTGCCCTCGGTGGCACCTGCAGCACCACTGGCACGGGGCCTGCTGTCCTCACAAGGGGCTGGGGGACACTTTGGCACAGTGTTCCCCCTGCCCCACGGAGGTCACAGCCCCACACAAGCCCAAGGAGCTTGTATTGATAAGCACTGGCAGGATTGTTATTGAATTCCAGAATCCAGGTCTCAGCCCAGACCATCCTGCCATGGGCACCTTCCCAGGAGGTGAGTGCCAGGAGCCCAGGATGGCAGGAATGACCCCCAAAGGCCACCCAAACCAAGCACAGGTGAAGGGCAATAACTGTTGATGCTGCCCTGAGAGCCTCACCCCAACTCCTGTGATCCCACGGGAGCTGGGACCCCCAGTGCTGAGAATCCCATTAGCCCATGGAGCAGCAGTCCTGCTGCCACCACTGTCCCTCTATCCCCTGCTGTCACATGGCTGCACACTCGGCTGGAATGCCCATGCCATGAGGACAACTCTTCCCAGCCCTGTTCCTAAAGGCTGAAGGGTTTTTATTTAAACACTTAAGGTTGTTGGTGACATCCAGGGCCAGGGGTACAGCCAAAGAAGGGCTCCTCATCCCTCTCCCGGGGTCCCTCTCGCTGACAGGAACTGCTTTTGAGGAAACCACAGGGAGAGGAAGAGCAGCCACGGGTTCCCACTGTCAGTGAGTCAGTGACACACAAGCAGGACTCTGTCACCGCCACAGTGTCCCCACACTGCCCGGACAGGCGTCGAGGGATTTCACACATAGGGAACTGAGCCTGAAGGCTGCAAGAGGTCACAGGGCCTGGAAAACCCTCGTGGGTCTGAGCTCTGCTGACCAGAGCAGAGTGGCAGCAGTGGAGCTGACTTCTGGTCAGTCATTTATTGCTAAAACCATTTTTTAACACCATTAAATTAGTCTATGAAATGGTTCTGCCTTTCTGCCCTCTCCCCTGCCATGTCCCCCCATGGACCCACAACGCCCATTCCTGCACAGGGACATGCTCTGCCCTCCCAGGGGAGCAGGGCTGCCAGAGCTGCACAGCCCGTGGCA